AGCTGGTTGCCTTGTAACTGGAATGAGAACTGCCCTCATTTTTATAAAATTCTGGGAATAGCAGCTTACATCAAGAACTTCCTGCTCTTTTCCCCTGTGGTGGGTTGACCTTGGCTGGTCACCAAGTGCCCATTGAGCCACTCTCTCATTCCCTCTCCTCAGCAGGACAGCGGGGAGAAAATACAATGGAAAAAGCTCATGGGTCAAGACAAGCACAGGGAAATCACTTACCAGTCACCATCATGGGCAAAACAGACTTGACTTGGGAAAGATCAATTTAATTTATTGCCAATTAATATCATAATAGTATAGTTAGAAACAAAACCCCAAACAAAAAATCACCTTCCCCCAACTCATCCCTTCCTCCCAGGCTCAACTTCACTCCTGATTCTTCTACTTCCCCCTCCGAACGCTGCAGAGGAACAGGGAACGGAGACGGTGGTCGGCTCACCATGGGTTGTCTTTGCTGTTCTCTCTGCCTCATGCTCTTCCCCTGCTCCAGCATTGGGTCCTTCCCATGGGCCACAGTCCTTCCCAAACTGCTCCAGCATGGGTCCTTTCCACAGGATGCAGTCCTTCTGGAGCAGACTGCTCCACTCTGGCTCACCTGTGGGACACAGGTCTTGCCACAAAACCTGCCAGAAGCCTGCTCCAGTGTAGTGTCTCTGTGGGCTGCAGCTTCCTTCAGGGCACATCCACGTGCTCCAGCATGGGATCCTCCACGGGCTGCAGTGCGCGTATCAACTCTGATGGTCTTCTCTATGAGCTGTCATGGGTCCTTTCCACAGGATGCAGTCCTTCTGGAGCAGACTGCTCCACTCTGGCTCACCTGTGGGACACAGGTCTTGCCACAAAACCTGCCAGAAGCCTGCTCCAGTGTAGTGTCTCTGTGGGCTGCAGCTTCCTTCAGGGCACATCCACGTGCTCCAGCATGGGATCCTCCACGGGCTGCAGTGCGCGTATCAACTCTGATGGTCTTCTCTATGAGCTGTAGGAGAATCTCTGCTCCAGCACCTGGAGCACCACCTCACTGATCTACACGTGTGCAAGGTTGTTTCTTTCACATTTTCTCTCTCCTCTCTCACAGCTGCTGTGCAGCACTTTTTTACCCCTTCTTAAATGTGACACAGAGGTGCCACAAACATTGATGGGCTCAGGTTTAGCCAGCGGTGGGCCTGTCCTGGAGCTGGCTGGAACTGGCTGAGTCTGATGTGGGGGCAGCTCCTGGTGTCTTCTCACAGAAGCCACCCCTGTAAGCCCCTCACTACCAAACCTTGATACACACAAATCCAATACACCCTCTTTAATTCCCGCTCTGTTTTCTTCAGATGTCAAACATGCACAGCTGCTCCGCTCGCCTTCCACATTCACTGATCCAACAGACTTCAGTGTCCACCTTCGCTGCCCACAAACTCCACTCTGCTGGCCTCTGTGAGACAATCTAGGCCACTAGGACCAAAATATGTTTCTAAGCCGTTTGGCTGGAGTTAAATTCATTACTCATCCTTTCCACTACACTCAACTCAAGCTAATTTTTTACAGTTCATATATTGCTTGCCTGTAAAATTAGCCCAAATGATGTTTGGGCATCTGCTGGGAACCTCTTTTACCTGCAACTAAACAAACCACTCCACTTACATGGTCCTTGAGAAAACACTTACTCGAACATGGCTTTGTAATTAGGGAACTAACTACAAAACTGAAATCATAACTCTGCATTCAAAGCCCAGATTGGAGGTGAATTCCCTCTAATTTAAATAAAGCCAATTTCCCCAAACCTGGCTTTAGTTTCTGCATTTGTAAAATGGGACTTACAGCATTTAAATGCAAAACTGTAGAATAAAAAGGAAAATTACTTAGCATATGTAAAAGGCTGTGTCAGTGAAAACCTAGAAAATGAAGAACATAAAATCCAAGGTAGGGTCAAAGGGAAATTAATAATGCAGAACTCAATAACAAAGTGTATTTACTAAGTTTTGTGATGGCAGTAAAACAATTTACTTGCTGTTCTCTATCTGTAATGTACTGAGACACAAATAAATCTTGAGTACATTGTTCCTGATCTTCTTGTCCAGGAACAGCATGATGTCCTGCGATATTGTTTATTTTTAATAGTGTTTGGCAATGCATATACAGATCTGGAAGTATCAGCATCCTGACAGATGTGCCAGACATTCCTGTATCAAACTCAGTCCTGTAATTGCACTGCACAGGCACATCCCTGTGCAACACACCTTCCAGAATATCAACTCCATTTATCACAGTGCAGAGGAAAGTCTGCTCGCACATTGTATGTTGCAGGCACAGGACCATAAAACCAATATTGTACAGTGCAAGCAGCAGCCAAGGAACAACATTCCATTCCAGACAGTGCTGCTCCATGGCCCTGTTACAACGTGCACCTCCGGAGCAGCCAAGGGAATTAAACAGCCATCACTGCAGGAGAGCCTGGCTGAAGCCTGCAGAGCTAGGTCAAGGCTTTTGTTCTCTTGGACTTGTGTCACCAAAAGAAAAAGTAATAAAGAAGTCATAGCCTTTTTATGGCCAGCAGTAGTGTACATCTAAAAAGCGAACACTGTAATTTAAGAACAGCAGTACCAATCTAGACTGAGAAGCATTTTCACACCACATTAATATAGGTTATAGAAGGATGGGGAGCTTAAGGAATATCTTCTTTTTGTGTTCTAAGATTCGAGGAAGAAAAAACATACAAAGAATACAACAGCTAATACATTTAGAATCATCTTTGTGAGAGTCAGTAAGATTCAAAGGTATGTTTGTTTTGCTACAGTTGTTGGCTCTGCAGTCCACAGAAGTACTAATCCAAGAGATAAGAGAGAGATTAATAGAATCATAGAATCATTTAGGTTAGAAAAGACCTTTAAGATCGAGTCCAATTGTTAACCCAACACTGCCAAGTCCCACCAAACCATGTCCCTAAGTGCCACATCTATATGCCTTTTAAATACTTCCAGGGATGGTGACTTCATCACTCCCATGGGCAGCCTGTTCCAGTGCTTGACAACCCTTTCTGTGAATAAGTTTTTCCTAATATCTAAGCTAAACCTCCCCCTGGTGCAACTTGAGGCCATTTCCTCCTGTCCTATCGCTTATTACCTGGAAGGACACCAACCCCCACCTAGCTGCAACCTCCTCTCAGGTAGTTGTAGGGAGAAATAAGATTTCCCCTCAGCTTCTTATTCTCCAATTTAAGCACTCCCAGTTCCCTCAGCCTCTTCTCATAAGACCTGTGCTCTAGACCCCTCACCAGCTTCGTTGCCCTTCTCTGGACACGCTGGAGCACCTCAATGGCTTTCTTGCAGTGAGAGGCCCAGAACTGAACACAGTACTCAAAGTACTCACCAGTGCTGAGTACAGTGGAATAATAATTTCCCTAGTCCTGCTGGCCACACTTTTTCTGAAAATGTAGACCCACTGCTGAATTGGGCAGAGCATCAGTTGAGAAGGGGCATGGAAAAGGCCAAGGTACTCAACACCTTCTTTCCTTCCATCTTTACTGATAATATTTGCCAAATCATAGGTTCCTGAGGCCACTGGGAAGGTCTGGAGCATGGAAGACTTACCCTTGGTGGAGCACGATCAGATTAGGGAACATTTAAACAAACTGGATAGACAGAAGTCCCTGGACTCTGGTAGGATACACTCATGAATGCTAAGGAAAGTTAGTCAATGTCATCGTGAGGCCACTCAGTAATATGAGAAAGGTCACATTGATCAGGAGATGTTCCTTATGACGGGAAGAAAGCAAATATTGTTTGAGTCTTCAAAAAGGCCAAGGATGAAGAGGATCAAAGAACTAAAAGCCAGTCAGCTACATCTCATTCCCTGGGAAGATAATGAGCAAGTAATTCTAGAAATCATTTCCAAACATAACAAGGACAAGGAGGTGCCTGACAGCAGTCAACATGGATTTACAAAGGAGAAAATCATGCCTGATTAACCTGTTAGCCTTTTATGATAAGATGACTGGCTTGGTGGATGATGGGACTGTTGATGTTGCTTATCTTGATTCTGGCAAGGCTTTTGAAACTCTCTCCCGTAACACCCTCATGGGCAGAGGAAGTATGAGTTAGATTAACGGACAGGGAGGTAAAAGTTAACTGAGTCATTCAGCTGAACGGCCTGCATCAAAGGGTTGTGATCAGTGGCAGGACGTCCAGCTGGAGGTCCATCAGTAGCAGTGCTCCCCTAGGGTCAGTACCGAGGCCAGTCCTCTTTAACATCAGCATGGTACATATCTACCATACCTATATGTTTAAGTGACAAGTATAGCATGTATATACCATAACTATATATGTACCATACCTATAGGTATGATACAAATGTATACACACATCCGTACACCCCCCAATCACATATACATGTATATAACACACACATATATATACATAGTCTTCAGAAGAGCACAGAAAGACACACTTAGAGCAGGCTGGGTGCAGAGTGCCTTAGCAGCACTGTACCAGGCCAGTATTGGTAAGCTGTGGAAATTTTTTCAAATTGGGGAAATCTGAAGCTGGTGACATGGCTGAGGGCTGAAATCAAGGGGAATCCTGCCTCTGAACTCAACGGTGGTTTCATTATCAGTCCACGCTCTCTGACCAGCCACGGTAAGAGGTGTGGCAAAGCAGCAATGCAATCAACTACTGGAGAAGGTGGCAACCAAAAATCACAGCAGGGACGTTCTGCTGTTCTCTTTCAAATAAGAAAACTAAGGTCATCCTGGATCAATATACTATACAAATCTTGAATGATTATCTTTTCTTTTTGCTTGAAAAAAGCCATGGACAAAACCATCACACAAAAATACCCCAGATAACATTTATCATCACAAACCAACTGCTAAGCAGAATGTCATTATTTTTACAATACAAGGTGAAATAAATTTTATCCTGCTGTCAAATGTAAGTCTTTATAGCTCTCCATAATGGCTTACTAGGAAAAAAAATTGTGAAATCAAAATAATAGTAAAAGTGGCAAACCTTTAAGCCTTTCAACATCTGATACACCAGGAACTGGATTCGATCTTCAGTTAGTTTCTCGTGCTTCATTATCTTACTCAAGTCTGTTCCCATAAATGGCATGACAAGGTAGCTTAAAGAAAAAAAAAGGGACAGAATATATTGTATTTGTCAAATAAATTGAAACAATTGTATGCTATAGTTCGGTGACAATATTAAATTACAGATCATTCAATTTACCAAACAATTCCTTCATCATCCTCCTGCCTCCAAGCTTCCCTGGCTTTATCTATTTTGATTGTCATAAAGAGGTATTTCCATAATCGGTGACAGGGTTGGGCAAGTTGCTAGTTAAAAAGAACTTAAGCAAGAGCCATGTTATATTTCAGACACCTACAGAGAAAACAGAGATGTTCATGAAAATGCTTGTGCATCTCATAATCATGATCATAGCACTGAACTAGCAGCAACCAAACTGCCCAGATGGTCCATTCAAATAGGCCAGGTCAGACATAACAGAAATAGAGTTGATCAATTAGGAGGCAATAATAACTTTCATTAATTTTCATCTGGCATCGTAAACTGGGATTTTCAGTACTTGGAACTGATAAGGAACACCAGCAACAGAAAGTTTGTGAATGCCAACCTGGCATTTCAAGGCTGATCTTCACTCAAGACCTGCTCTTAAATGAAACCTAACTAATCTTCGCAATCGCGTGTAGCAAACTCATCCTTCAGAGTCTACCCTTAATGTCAGGTCTGAACACATGACAGAGCTAGTCATGTCTGGCACCCAAGGATAAAGTCATCAGTTCTCCTCTACTTATGAGGACAAGCAGATGTATTTTCATAAAGGGGAGAATTAAATGTGATCAGTTTCATAGCTACAAATTTTATTATTTAGACTTAAACGGGCTTCCTCTGGTTAAAATATGCAAATTATAAGTCTGCTGATTTCTACTAGTAAACCTGTATGAAAACTTCCTTTATTCTATTAAAATTATAACTATCAACAAAACAGATATTGAATATAAAGTCATAATGGAGATGGGGCACTGATTTAGTCACTAAGAGTTACAGGTAGTATTTTCAACATCTCCTAGGTACTAAACACTTCTTTTCCCCCTGACTTAGGGGATTAGGACTCAGGCTCCCAGTCCCAGCATCCACAGACAAATTTGCTATCCTTTGAATAGAAAAGATGAGCAATTTAATTCTATAACTATGCAAGGACAGAGCAAATATGGAGAAGAGAATGACATTGCTTATCTCTGCCCCAGTGTACCACAAAATATTTCCCATCAACATACCAAGTGATTTAGAAAATGGAGTTGAACTTCTTTGTTGATGTTCCTGACTGTTAAAAGCATATTAAGTTCTCCTCCAACTCAAACTTATTAAATACATTTTCCCAGAGGTCACGAAAACTTGGAATGAGCCATAAAAAAAAACCTTTTAGTGACTTCTCTAGAAAAAACAGAGGTAGAAAGAAGTGGGGCAAGAGAATGAGAGAAATATCTACACATCTTTTACTACTGGTAGTGATCGTCATGCATTCATTAGGATTTTGCTCTCCTGCCATCATCTGTAGAAATCTCAAGGCTCTGAACAGATAGTGAATTATGTGGATAGACAAAGTTCAAAACGATATATAACCATTAAGTACTGTAAAGAACAGGTTAAAAAAGACAAATAAGACTGTATTTTTACAAACGCACAATCTGCTAAGTTTACAAAATGATGACTTCAAATCTCTTTGAATCAGAGAGAGGCCATGGTGGGTGGAGAAATGGGCAAAATATAAGACAGGGAAAACCCACTCCTATCAAGTTTGAAAATTCAAACTTTAGTAGCCACCTATGAGCATTGCAACAGGACAACAATGGGATCAAACACTACGGGCTCACTTTCAACACTTCATCTACTACTTAAAACTTCACAAGCTTATTTTTATTATTAAAAATTTATTTACAATTGACAGCTGGAATCCAAAAATAAGCTGAAGAAGTTAGGCACCTGATTATTAATTCACTTAAATGGAAGCCTGATGCCTAAAGCATTTAAGCTCTTTGCAAGTTCCAGTTAAATCCCAAAATTATTACAAAATGTGGAGCTGCAATCTGTTCTGGCACGTTATGTATGATACAAGGACAGACAATGCAAGGAATACAGGTGAAGGGAGTGAAAAGCAGCTGGTAGTGTAGGACTTCATTTGGTAAAGACTGATGCATTTCTGATTTTGTACACCATTTCAATCAGCTGAACTATAACTGTAGTTCAACACAAGCATGAGCTGGGAAAGGATGTTGAATATTCCTTCACAACGGAAATGGAACATTGTCTTCAATCTTTGTTAGATTGCCTGTAGAGTAGAGGAGCAGGAGAGCGGAGTGGCAAGCAGAGGAGGAGCATGCTGGGGCTAGAAGTTGTCCAAGACCTCGGGTTCTTTAGGGACTGGCTCTGGTGAAATCCTGCTTCTGTTGCTTCTAGCCGCAAATCTGCTTGAATTTGACCTTTTTACAGTAAGCCACAGATAATGCCTCATGACTAGTCAGCAAAAAGTAAGTCTTCCTCAAATGACCCGCTTGACCTTTAGTTCACAAAAGCAGTTTCTCCACTTTTTTTTTTTCCCATGTACACACATGTACCTCTGCTCATCTCTACCAGCTTGCCCAAAGTCTTGAAAATAGATTTTGTCATAAATCCACCCGAAGTGTAGTTTCAGTTACAAAAAAGTCCCTCCTACTTGACTTGCACCTCCAAAACTTGAAGGATGATTTTAGGGTCCCATTTAAAACACAGTGCTTGTATGTTAATCATACACACGTGCATTTTATTACATATACAATATAAAACACTAGCACAATAGGCAATATGGACAACATCCTTTTTGGCCCAAATGGTCAACACAAACATGCAGTCCATATTTTCTGTACTTCATTTTCTACGTTTTCCTGTCAGATAGCCTTCTTTGTTAACACATAAATCTGCAAGTTTGTTTTTGAAACATAGCTACATTAGATGAAATCCAGAACAGTTTTATGAATGTAGCATGAAATCTACCAGGACTTCTGACCACTGTTTCTCTAGTGGCTCTAATTTTCAAGAATTGCAGCAGGATTCACAGGCAAAACAACAGACTTGCTAAATACCTTGTATCTGAGATGCCACCAAAAGGTCAGGGAGATGCATGTGCCTAGTGCTAGAAATGATCTGTATCTGTGCTGTTTGGACCACACGACTCGGAAACCAGTCAGGAAGTACAACAAACCACAGCACAGATAACCACTACCAAAAAAAAAAATATTCAGCAGAATCAACAGTTTTGAATTAATCCTTGAATTAGGACGGATCACACCAGAGCCGTGTCATTTAACAGGCATCTTTTCAGCCTACTTGTTTAGGTTAAGAATTGTCCTATCGTTTGGGCAACCTGGGCCTTAGGGTAAGGAACTTGAAAGATTTACTAAGGGCTGAAAGAAGCACACGCATTGTAAGATAGGTAACTGGTTCTAATGATGATCTGAAAACCTCAGCCTACCCATTTTGAAGTTGCACATAAGGCTTACATTAAGATGAAACTCAGAAAAAAATCCACAAAGCAACAATTTTGGAACTCTCCATTTAAAAAAGCAACAGCCCTTCCTCCCGCACAAGATATAATGCTCTGCTCCCAAACACAAATAACTCAGAACTTACAAATCATTAAACTTCTCCAGCGTTATGTCTGGTGTGAACACATCCAGTATTCCAATGACCTAAAAATAAAGGAGAAAAAAACCCCCATGGATTAATACCGATTTAACACAAAAAAATACCCGAATTGCATAGTAAGTGAAAAAATATAATCAAAAACATTTCCACAGTGAGATATTATCTACAGGCATAAAGATAGCAGAAAGAATACCTAAAGTAGTGCCTAGCAACACCAGGATTTGTTATCTGATGAATTTTATAACTCTGAGGGCTGTTTGACCCTGTAAAAAAAAATTTTAAAAAAAGTATTTACTTGAACAAAAAGTTCAGAGGCTAACAGTTTTATGTAAGAGGAGAGAGAATCTATTAACTTGAATCACTGAAGTGTCAAAAATAAACCAGATAAATCAGTTTATAACCTGAAGCAGTCATAAGTGCTATTCAGCCAGCTGGGCTTCAAACATCTTCTAATTTCAGTAACAGGATAATTTAGGCACATACACGACAATATCTAACTGGGAGTACAGAGAAGAAACTTGGACTAAACTGTTTTTTATAGAGAGTAAATTACCAAGAGCTTAATATGATTTACTATGGCTCACACCTTAGGATCTCCTTAAGAGCATTTTTTGTCAAACAAAAGCATTCTATCACTCAACAGAACATAGTAAAACAGATTTCCCACTACGGTTTTTCCTTGTAGCATGGTTTTCAACAGAACTATGCATTCTTTCAGCAGACCAGGTGCATTATGGTAACTGCCAATGTTTCCCTCAAGCTCATTAAACACTAGAAAATTAAATATACAGAACTTGACGCTCCAAAAGATGTAGCTGGAATTGTCTAAAGCCAGATCTCAGCTTGGATGCTGCTTAATCCAGGTAGTGCCCAACCAGCACAGGCTTCTACAGTAACTTCTTTTCTACTTCTGCTACTGATTCATGACCATTGCTGTCTGCTCAGAGGAAGCCTCCAAAGCCCTGGACTGCTCATGGTGCCTTCTTCAGACCCATCTCCAGGGCTATACAATTAAAGGACTTGAGATGATACATCAAAGTAAAACTGTATAAAATTAGAAACTGCAAGAAAGACACCAGGGATAACAGCATATTACATTGTCTGATGTTACCATCAAAGTACTAAAAGGACTGCAAATTCCACTTTGATAGCAATCAGGATGGATTTTGGACATTACTACTCTGTCTTGATTGCTTCACAAAACAGAGATCTTTTAAAAAAGTACTTGAAAGTAAAGAGAAGTGAGAGCAGAAATGCAGGAAAAAAATGCAAGAAAAGAAAGGCGACTTCCTGTATTTAAAGCTTTAAATAAAAATCTCCAACTGTGATGAAATCCTTACTGCACACATTTGTATCTTGTCCACATTCAGGGGGAACTACTACAGTTAGCCTGAGTATTATCAAAATGTCATAATTATGAACAAGATAGAAAAACTAATAAAGATGAAGACAGAAAATTAAAACTTTTTTTCTTTGTAGCCACATATGTCTTTTAAAAAAATAACTAATAATATTTTCCTGAAGACTGTTATATGAAACTAATTAAATAAGAGTAATATAACTACCAGAAAACAATAATTAAACCCACAGAGGATGTGGTTATTATTTGAAGTAATACCTTCAACGCTAAAATTATACCAAGATTTTTTTTTTTTTCGACAGTTTTACATAAGGTTTTTCATATCTGTGTAGAGGCAGGGAGAAAAAGGGAGGAGAAAGGAATTGGGAAGATGTACGGGACAACAATGGAGCATAATGCAGCTCTACAGGCATTTCCTAAGGCAGTGTGTGTACACACACAGCATACGCAGCCAGAAAAGTTGTGTGCTCTCCAAAGATTTCACTATTAAAAAGAAGGAAGGTAACACTTTAACAGTAATCTTATCCAATATGCAGTTCTTTCCCCAATAAGCCCTACTTTTTCAGAACTCCTGCTTGTTTTCCTCAAGGAGGTATTTCCATGCCTTCCTTGACCTAAGCAAGAAACATAAGTAAACAAACCCCATCAGGTCTGAATGTGAAGACACGGGGACACCACTATAAAAAGAAGGGGCACAGCAGAGGATGGAGTAGCGTGGCCACCACACCGCATCCCTCTGCGCCGAGGCACCACCAGGCACCCGCTGGGAAACGCAGGAGCATGAAGAACACCTTTCCATGAAGAGCATACCAAGCCCCAAACCACACTTAATGAAGTTCACTAACATTTCGTTGCTTCTCTATTCAAGTAAACAGAGTTCCCAGTAGTTACTTAATGCTGCCCGATATACAGCGTACATTATTTCTCAGGTGAGGGTGCAAACCGATGGAGACAACCTTATAGCTGCAAATCCTCTGCAGTCGAAGAATACCACCGAGACTAATGCTTAGCTCCTGTTGGAGGGAACTGTAAATAATAAACCAGAAAACTCTTTTTAACATGCCAAAAGATTTCACAATACTACTTTTCCTCTTCTTCCTTCAGCTTTCTAAAAATCCTGAAATCCATTTTAGTGGTAAGACATACTAATAGTTAATCAATATAAAAATAGAAGCGAGGGACCCATTTCCTTTTCCTCAGTGATCTTTTTTTAATAGCTGTGCCTTGGGATGGTTTTCCTGTACTGGAACAGAGTCATTAGAATTTCCATTTAGGTCATATGTTTCTGCAGATATGTAAAGCACAAGGAGGTACAGGATAAAATAATTCATCTGAGGAAGATACAATCCCAGCTATTTCTTCAGGAAAAGAACTGGGCAAAGTGTAGGCAGCTCCCTCCCCCATAGTATCATGGAAAATCCTGTGTCTGTCTAAAATGCTCTCAATTAAATACAGTACTTGTAAAAAAACCCCAACCTTTACGATACTTAATATCCCAGCACAAAAGTAAGCCACCATAAAATAGTTACAAGAATCATTTATTTTTCATAGTGTAGCCTATACAAAATGCAACAGAGGTATCTGTGAAACCTTCTGTAGCCCTGTTTTTGGTGTTTATTCAGCACACTTACTGATACTACCAGAGATGGGAGCACAGCCAAGGAATGAACCCAGTACACTCCGTGATGGCAGTGAAAAGCACCTATTAAAACCAGCAATGGCACTGCCCTTTCAGGGTCTCATTTTTTTCCCCATTAACTCTGCCAAAAGGCAGTTTCTCGAATGAATTAGCCCACAAAGAATGCATCTTTTTTCCTACCACCCATCTGACTAAAAACCAGCCTGGATTTCTGCAGCCTCCACTGCAGTACCTTCCTTGCAAGTATCTCGAGGAGAGGGTGTGATACTGTGTCTCTCCCATCTTCCTCCAATGCAAAACCACAGTAACAGCAAAACTACCCATTTACTGGTCTAACTTGTTTTCCACGGGTATGCTTCTACTTGATGTATTTAATTTCTTGATTGTGTCTCTTCCCAACAATGCTGGGGGCTGGGGGGGGGGGGGGGGCAGGGGCCACGGG